AAAAAGATCGAAATCGCGATCCGCGTCTGGCAGTTTCGACAGAATACAGACCACTTCGAATTATTTTATTCGATTATGGTAACGTGCCTATCATGTTGAGGTTAGCTACGCCGGGATTCGTTTCAGCAAGTAGATATCCACACAAGTGGACCTTGTTGGAGCATATGTAATCCTAAAATGTAGCATCGTACTACAGATGGCGTTTACCGCGCCATTTGTGGTATTTTCTAAAACGCACTGTTAAGGCAGCAGGCAAAAGTTGGTCATGTGTTCTGTCGGAGCTGTCTGCGACGCGCTGATGTGATCCAAAAAGGTCGAAATCGTGATACCCGTCTGGCAGTTTCGACAGAATATAGACCAGTTCGAATTATTTTACTCTCATAATTTCTGATAATACCATACCACATTCATAAATAAGATTGATTGCATGTGCATACCTTTGGTGTTTTACTGATACCCTTAGTAACAAATTATTTCTATAGCTGTCGTTTATACTGCAATGTGTAATTTTGTAGAAAATTTTGATGGGCAGGTGCAGTAATTAATCACACTGTGAAGTGCTTGCTTGGTTTTTCCCTCTCCTTATCAGTATGATGCAATATACTATGCTCTTATGCAATTAGGTAATTGTTTTTAGAAGTATCTGCATTTTATTTCAAGTTTTTATCAGATACAGCCTTTTGGTATAAAATTGTGTTTTATTTATTTATATCTAATCTTGCGTTATAAATTAAGCAATTTTTATAATCATATATTCAAATAAAAAATAATAATTTGCCGTCAAATTGGAACACATCCCATAAGAAATGAAATTCTTGATAGTATGTGAATAAATTGAAAAATTTAGAATTTATCTTTTTTTTCTTGTGATATCAAGCAAAATTTTTTTGTGAAGTGTCAAAGCATGATCTCTCTTTACGGAAATATTGTCAAGTTGATCCAAATAATTACTTTGAACAAAATTTCTCGTTTTGTCGTTATGTTCACAGATGTGTGTGAGAGCTTTTATAGAGAATAGTTTTGCATGAAATTGTCGACTGTTGCATAAATCAACCAATCTTTTTAGTAAAGTAGAATTCTTTTTGAATCTAAACTTAATCAATCCTCCCATGGTTGCCAACATAATAGTTCTCGCAGCTGCAGTTTTGACCAGTTGGTCATTATGACTCAACAGTGGCACTACTTTGTTGAGTAGTTTTACTTCACAGGCTACACACTTTCCAATCGGAGAGTTCACCAATTCGGACAGACATTCAAGTGAATCTAACAGAATCGATGTATTCTCTTTTTCTAAAAGACCAACCAACGTCTTCCATCCTTTCCAGTTGTTAATGATGTCGTTTTTGTCCGCTCGGTTTACTAAGTACTTTAATGTTTTCAAATAAAAGTTAACTATTTCGTCAGAATCATTACATGCTTTTAATAATAGAGGTATGAAGCCCAAATCAACCATCTCATTACTGTGCAAGTTTGATATTTTTTCTATTAATTGAGGAACTTCAAGTCGTACACCTTTATGTGGATCGTTGATCATGTCTTTGAGTTTGTGCAAAAATTGAACTTCAATAATAGACTCTTTCACATTTTCAAGAGCGTATAATATTCTCAAACAATGAACAGCCTTTTCTCGGATATAGCTTTCCTTTCTGTTCAGAAGTTCTTTAAACTTTTGTGGAAATTTTAATCTGACTAGCTGATATCCTTTTGCAGGATTCGAGCATTTATCTTCCAAATTATTGAGGGCTTGGACAACAACTTGTACGTTTTCATCTGACAAGTCGCCCATCAGTTTTAGATAAGTTCTGTAAGCAAATGAATCAGATCTTCTTGTTATGTCGACATTACCGATTGAAATATTAGGCTGCTGACTGGTAATCCTGCTGAAAAACTGATCAGACTGCTGTTCCTGACCAAGTGCCTTACTTATCATCCGATTAATTGGTCGAACATGCCTGCTTTCTGATATTTGGTTTCTATGTATTGACAACATTGTAATTTTACCCACAATTTTGGTCACTCCAAAAATAAAATCTTGATTTGAATACTTCACATTTTATACACGTGTATTCATAACCTTCAAATATTATTTGTCAATTATAAACTAACTAAAAATATTCTATCTATATTATTCAATCTAATATAAAAATTGTCTATCTCTCTCTCTATTTTGAGAATAAAGGCTTTTATGGATTTTCGTAACGATTCGTCGAATATAATTCTTATAAACCCCAGAAGCTAGGAAATCTCCTTTTCAGTCCGCGGTCATTCGTAAAGACTTTGCAGAATGGTAGATGGCGCCAGATGTGCCTTTTTGGTTACACCGATGGTCTTTTACTTTTAATTCAGCAATAATGTACCTATCAACTACCAAGTATCAAAATTTAATCAGAACAATATATGTTCTTCGTCGTAAATTTATATTACAATTTCGATTTCATTTGATTTCATCAGCACGCCACACACAGTCTCGATAAATGACCGACCAAATCGAAGGAGCTCATTAAATCCAATATCGACGGATAACTAGAACACTAGAATTCACAAACATTTCATAATATAGGAATTTTGAACTTAATATGTATCGTATGGAAACATCTGACTTAACTCGGCTGAAACACTTAAAAAGGCATACGATTCAATAGAAAAATACTTCATTTGAAAGCAATCGACTTACTAGATCAGACAATATGCAAATTTTTTCGTGAAGTATTAGTGAACCTGTGGATATTCTCTCTGGAATAGGTACGAAATCGGAGGTAACAGCTATTGTATGAGGTCATCTCCCAAAATAAATTTACTCATGTTGTTAATTGGAATTTAAAAACCACGTTTTAAAAGATAACGTTGTTTTTAAAATATTCAATAAACACATTTGTATTATTTGTGTAAACAAGATATGTCATTCAACATTAAGTTGAGTTATCAATTTTATTATTTATTTAAGAGCAGGTAAATACATATTTTGTTTTGTTATAAAATCTACATTTTTTTTGCAACAGTTTTATTTAGACTTGAAATGCTAATAGCGATTCTAATAGACTAAAACAGTGAACCTACGACAAACGTTGATATTCTTGATTTTATCGTCTATTCAAATTAAAGACAGCAAGTCTACTTTTTGCGCAAATAATATCAATTTTAAGTAAGTAAATTTGCAAGCAATGACAGACAGTTCCTTAACTGATTGTCAATTTTATCTTGAACAAATAATATGCATTTCAAATGAACATTTACTTATAAATGCAGTTTAGATATACTTTTTCATTGTAATTAATGAACTTAAAATGGTCAGTAACTTTAAGTATAAAGAAGTTTAATTTCTGACAAACATACAAGAAAATATAAAAATAAAAATATTGAATTAATACTCTCTATTGATTTAATCCAATACTTTGGCAAGTTTGACTTATAGTCCTTCGACAAGCAGCGGCTCTGTTCCTCATGAATTGTTATCAATCAATCATCAAAACTATGAATTCTACTGAAACGGTTCTCTCTTCTCTGGTAACAAGGGCGGAGGCAAACAATCAAGAGCTTGCATTATGCACTTAGAAGCAAATAAAACAATTGTTTTAAACGACTTGGCCTCTACTAACGGTGTTTAGAACTGTGTTGTTTTATTGATTTTTTTGTCTGTATTATTTGTTAATTTTTATATTCCACTATTTTTTTTAAATGTGTAAATGCCCATTTGGACATAATAGAGAAAGATGTCTATCAGTTAATTCCAGGGTTGGCATGAATGAATCATGATTTAAATCACGATTTTAAATCAAATGATTTTTTAAATAAAAATCAATGATTTAATCAAAAAGTTTAATTTCACTTTCTTTCACAGAAATCAACATAAAAAACAGATTTAGAAATTATAATTAAGTTACAAACTAGGATCATTTAAATCTGAGAAATCAATATCATTATTATGATATTTGAATAAAAAAACTAGTTTTCCAGCTTTTTCAATTCCCAGTCGGTTTCTTAATTTGCTCTGAACAATTCCAAAGGTGGAAAACACTGTTTCCACAGCAGCTTCACCACTGGAAAAAATTTAGACTGTTCCTCTTCACTAAATATATTTTTCTGTGACACCCACCACTCTAGTGTCACTATTTTTACTATTTCTTCTGCGAACATCACACTTTTAAATGGTTTCGATTTTGACTTAAGCTTTACTATCAATGATAGCAAAACTGAACCATCATAGTGATTTCGCGCTTCCTCCAACGCACTTTCTTCATCTGTCAGTGTGAATTCTGTTTGGGTTGGGTCTAATAAAAATGCCAAAAAGTGACTGGGGGTAATTGCTTGCTTATGTCTATCATGATTTTTTCCAACCCTGGTTAATACTGTACCTTTTTTTGAATAGTTAATTGAATACAGGTGCTTTAATTAAGCAAACAGGGAGTTATAACGAAGTAATTAAGGAACAACAAAGCGTTTACTTTGCAGTTTTACTTTATTGGAAGTATTCCACATCATATTATACAAATTTTACGGAGCAAATTAGATAGCAGTGAATATTAAGAATATTTTTAGACATTTATAGGTTTACTCATAACCAGGAGGTGCTGGACGTATGGCTGTGGCACAAGCAGTGTGCTGTGGATAGTCACAATTTCTATTAACAGCGTTGTATACTAATCCAGGATAACAAGACTGCTCGATTGGTTCGCCGTGAGCACAGTTGTAAAATTTGGTGCAGTCATCAACATTGGGAATAAGCCAATCGTCCCCATGATATCTACACAGTCCTGTAAAAATGATGAGATGTGTGGAATTAAAATATGTTCATTAGAACAGGGAAGATGGCAATTTATACTCAGTGAGACAAAGTGAACATGTTTGGTGGAGTACGCACATAATAAAATGCTTATTTGATAGCTATAAGAAAAAGTTGAAGGTATATAAAATAATCTTACTTCTGAGTGTCTCAGGGGTGACATCAGAGTTGGCGCAGGCGGTAGCCAAAATGGCGAACAAGGTAAGAATAACAATTCCTAGAACAATACAAGCTATTAATGATTACAAATACAAAGTCAAATCACTATTAAAAGAATGGAGCGCTGCTGCAGTAATAATTTGATATCATAAATAGGTATAAATAATTATGTAATACAATAGTAACTTTGAAGAAGCTACACTAGTTTCGTGAATAACTTGCCCGCCACAAGGGCAGTAAACTCTTCATTGAATAAACACTTGGATAATGAAATACTAGTTCAGAAATTCTGTTAAAATGTACCTTCTTACCTTTCATGATTGTTTTGATGCATTCACTCGAAGCACTGCAGTGTTATATTTGACCCAGAAGACAACATCATTTACCATTTATATACTCAAAACTATTACGGTTTTATCTCCTCGTATCATCTCTCACCTGTCGAAATAGACTTGGATGATTTATCAGAAAATCAGTTCCTTATTTACCAAGTAGATTATAATCAAATAAATATTTACGGACAGGCATGACAATTCTGATTCCTTCAAGTGTTTAAAATTCAGTTGAATTTTGATATACCTATCTAATAATAACTTCACATCTTTGAAGTCAACTTTCTTTTGACTAATGAATTTTCTAAGAAAATGAGAGAGCAAGCCAACAGGTATTAAGAAACGAAGTAATGCAAATTAATATCAGTACGAGAATTTTAGGTCTTTCCCACTTTTCCACCCTCTATCTTTTGACGTGAATGCCTACGTCTTTTTAACGATAAGAGTTTCCAATTATAACTCTCTTAACTTTGCAAGTAACCAGCCCTAAATTTGGAAAGCAATCATCCTCTACAAAACGATACCAACTTTAAATTTGTTCACAATATTTATTATGATCCCAATTGGTATTTGAAAAAGAACAAGCATCTACGTTCATTGGGTTGTAGGTATCTACGTAAGGCATGGATTCGAAACCTAATATCTAAAATAGTTTAGATAACATTTTTAACAGTTTCTTTACTTAGAAATCAAATTCTTTATAATTATATAAGCAGTATTGTAATATTTTATTGAAGAGCTGAGTTCGCCCAAATTTGGAGGTGGCACATGAATAGTAAGCAACTAATCATACAACCATAGAGGTAATTAAAATACTTAAAGTACTCCCATGCTCTCCTGCAAAAGAAAATAGTGGGACCCTCTCTCCCTCTTTGCCTTTACTTAATGGTGCTTGCTCAAAGCAGTAGGTGTCATAGGAGATGTCCTTTTATTTTTTGCTTTTTTCTTTTCTGAAACATATTCTACTCTAATTCTATTATCTTTGAGGTTGCAACATGTGATCAAAATGTGTGTACTGTGCAACCAACCCGGCCACCTTCGGCTGTTTATTTCCAACTCGAACACGTCAAAATATTCTGCCTCAACGAAAACATCCTACATACAGTCTATTTCAATTTGTTAGAATTGTGACCTTGATGAAATTTGCGCGAAGATAGAAAGAATACACACTAGGCGTGAGCAAGACAGAAATAGTTGGAACAAGCTTGAACGAGCAGAGCTCTCGATGGGCGGTCTTAGGAGATCGGCTAGAACTGTACAGTACTAGACGAAAATGTTAAGCAATTTCTTAAAACAAAAATGTAAAAAAATAACAATAGAAAACAAAGCAAAAGTTTTATAGGTGTGTAGTACGTTAAGTTAATTCACTTGTTATTATTTTTGGCTAAATATGCTTTTAAATAAAGCATATTCTTAAATTTTAACGAGGCACTCTTAAATAATTTTGCAAATGGTACTGTACACTTTTGCCTAGTTCTCGCTCGATAATCGGTGGAGAAATGAGCTACGCAGACAAATATGATTCAATTTGGAATTATGCTACGGCGCATCCTAATAAAGAGAAGGGGCATATCTCTAACTTCTTGAAACGAATAGTACATACTTATTGAAAGTAGGCTTAAAGAATCCGCCTTCCTTTATTGAAACGTTTTAATAGACAGGTATAGATCCAGGATGTTGTACTATCGGACCGAGCGGCATGGCCTAGAGGTCTAGACCATTGCTTAGCATTCGGGAGGACGCCGGTTCGATTACGGATCCGTCTGCCGTAGTCCAAGTTTTTCTATGGTTTCCTTGGATCACTTAGGCAAATGCTGAGGCAGTAATATTCCACAAATAATGTTTCAATCTTTTCTGTCTTCATTTCGTCCGTCTCATCTTTCTCACCGGAACCACCACCCAACCATTCCCACGTTTCCTGAAAGCAGGCTGAAGAGGGCCTTCCGCCCCACCTTCCGGCATAGTCCGGAGGGACTGCCCGCCCACCAGCATTGCTAGCTGGTGGGAATGAAACACCCAAAAGTTAAAGTTAAAGCTTTTTTTGTACTATCGGGTATCCTGTTTATACAGACTACATGTCTACAAGGGAAAAACGCTTTTTCTTCCTTTTCATTTGTCAATATCTTTCATAATACCTTTTGAATCGCTCAATAAAATCAAATGGAAATTATACAAAACCTTAAACCTTAGTTCTTAAACACATAAATCCTAACGGTAGAACATACTTAAGTGTAATGGACATTGTGAATTTTTCAAAACTTTATAACCCTATAGTTTTTCTGCAAATAGCGAATATAAAGTTTTAGGAGAAACTTATTGTTCCTATTGAAATTATACTATAAAGATAACCCAATTGTTGACAGGTTGAACAAAATAATTCGAAGTGGTCTGTATTCTGTCGAAACTGCCAGACGCGGATCGCGATTTCGATCTTTTTGGATCTCGTCAGCGCGTCGCAGGCAGCTCCGACAGAACACANGACCACTTCGAATTATTTTATTCGATTATGGTAACGTGCCTATCATGTTGAGGTTAGCTACGCCGGGATTCGTTTCAGCAAGTAGATATCCACACAAGTGGACCTTGTTGGAGCATATGTAATCCTAAAATGTAGCATCGTACTACAGATGGCGTTTACCGCGCCATTTGTGGTATTTTCTAAAACGCACTGTTAAGGCAGCAGGCAAAAGTTGGTCATGTGTTCTGTCGGAGCTGTCTGCGACGCGCTGATGTGATCCAAAAAGGTCGAAATCGTGATACCCGTCTGGCAGTTTCGACAGAATATAGACCAGTTCGAATTATTTTACTCTCATAATTTCTGATAATACCATACCACATTCATAAATAAGATTGATTGCATGTGCATACCTTTGGTGTTTTACTGATACCCTTAGTAACAAATTATTTCTATAGCTGTCGTTTATACTGCAATGTGTAATTTTGTAGAAAATTTTGATGGGCAGGTGCAGTAATTAATCACACTGTGAAGTGCTTGCTTGGTTTTTCCCTCTCCTTATCAGTATGATGCAATATACTATGCTCTTATGCAATTAGGTAATTGTTTTTAGAAGTATCTGCATTTTATTTCAAGTTTTTATCAGATACAGCCTTTTGGTATAAAATTGTGTTTTATTTATTTATATCTAATCTTGCGTTATAAATTAAGCAATTTTTATAATCATATATTCAAATAAAAAATAATAATTTGCCGTCAAATTGGAACACATCCCATAAGAAATGAAATTCTTGATAGTATGTGAATAAATTGAAAAATTTAGAATTTATCTTTTTTTTCTTGTGATATCAAGCAAAATTTTTTTGTGAAGTGTCAAAGCATGATCTCTCTTTACGGAAATATTGTCAAGTTGATCCAAATAATTACTTTGAACAAAATTTCTCGTTTTGTCGTTATGTTCACAGATGTGTGTGAGAGCTTTTATAGAGAATAGTTTTGCATGAAATTGTCGACTGTTGCATAAATCAACCAATCTTTTTAGTAAAGTAGAATTCTTTTTGAATCTAAACTTAATCAATCCTCCCATGGTTGCCAACATAATAGTTCTCGCAGCTGCAGTTTTGACCAGTTGGTCATTATGACTCAACAGTGGCACTACTTTGTTGAGTAGTTTTACTTCACAGGCTACACACTTTCCAATCGGAGAGTTCACCAATTCGGACAGACATTCAAGTGAATCTAACAGAATCGATGTATTCTCTTTTTCTAAAAGACCAACCAACGTCTTCCATCCTTTCCAGTTGTTAATGATGTCGTTTTTGTCCGCTCGGTTTACTAAGTACTTTAATGTTTTCAAATAAAAGTTAACTATTTCGTCAGAATCATTACATGCTTTTAATAATAGAGGTATGAAGCCCAAATCAACCATCTCATTACTGTGCAAGTTTGATATTTTTTCTATTAATTGAGGAACTTCAAGTCGTACACCTTTATGTGGATCGTTGATCATGTCTTTGAGTTTGTGCAAAAATTGAACTTCAATAATAGACTCTTTCACATTTTCAAGAGCGTATAATATTCTCAAACAATGAACAGCCTTTTCTCGGATATAGCTTTCCTTTCTGTTCAGAAGTTCTTTAAACTTTTGTGGAAATTTTAATCTGACTAGCTGATATCCTTTTGCAGGATTCGAGCATTTATCTTCCAAATTATTGAGGGCTTGGACAACAACTTGTACGTTTTCATCTGACAAGTCGCCCATCAGTTTTAGATAAGTTCTGTAAGCAAATGAATCAGATCTTCTTGTTATGTCGACATTACCGATTGAAATATTAGGCTGCTGACTGGTAATCCTGCTGAAAAACTGATCAGACTGCTGTTCCTGACCAAGTGCCTTACTTATCATCCGATTAATTGGTCGAACATGCCTGCTTTCTGATATTTGGTTTCTATGTATTGACAACATTGTAATTTTACCCACAATTTTGGTCACTCCAAAAATAAAATCTTGATTTGAATACTTCACATTTTATACACGTGTATTCATAACCTTCAAATATTATTTGTCAATTATAAACTAACTAAAAATATTCTATNAAAATAATTCGAAGTGGTCTGTATTCTGTCGAAACTGCCAGACGCGGATCGCGATTTCGATCTTTTTGGATCTCGTCAGCGCGTCGCAGGCAGCTCCAAAAGAACACAGACCAACCTTTACCCGCTGTCTTAACAGCGCGTTTTAGAAAATACCACAAATGGGGTGGTGAGCGCCATCTGTAGTCCGATCCTACATTTTAGGATTACGTATGCTCCAGCAAGGTGCATTTAAAAATATGAATATCTACTTGCTGAAACGAATCCCTGCGACACGCTGATGAGATCCAAAAAGATCGAAATCGCAATCCGCGTCTGGCAGTTTCGACAGAATACAGACCACTTCGAATTATTTTGTTCGATTATGGTAACGTGCCTATCACGTTGAGGTGAGCTACGCCGGGATTCGTTTCAGCAAGTAGATATTCATATTTTTAAATGGACCTCGCTGGAGCATACGTAATCCTAAAATGTAGCATCGTACTACAGATGGCGCTCACCACGCCATTTGTGGTATTTTCTGTTAACAGGTTGGTTGTAAGTAATCTGTTTTGTTTCCAGTTTTAACCACCTACTCTTGTGGACATGTTAAAGTATTTGATTTTGACTGATAGGGAGTGATTAAATTGAAGAGGGTTATAAATTGCACACTATTTTATTTACTTTCTAAAGTACTATTTATTATAGGTACAATGTCATGCGTATAATAAATAAGTGACGCAGATTATTGAAGATCAAAGATGTTAGAGCATCTGGTACTATCAGGATAGTCACACGCCTTCAGATTGGTGTTGTAAACCAATCCGCTGGGACAAGCGAGTTGAAAGTGGGTTCCTGCACTGCCAACGCATTCGTAGAATTTAGAACAATCAGCAATGTCGGGTACCAGGTAACCATCACCATGCTGTACACAAAGTTCTGAAAAATTTAAGACATAATTTTAAAAATGGATCAAGTTCCGCGATCTTATTTGATCTCATCAGCACACTATTAGCAGTTTTGATAAATGAAATTGTTTTACGTATTAGCATGTTTGTAAATACAATATTGTGTTACCACAGTACCTATGTCTCCATTTGCTAATATTTGCTGTTAATAGTTCAGCAGGACATAGATAAGATTACTGTTCGTAAATAGTTAAGGATGTGGGATGCTCTAGTTTTAGGGAAATGCGAAGATTAGTTCAGGATAGGAAGGAGTGGAGGTGCGTGTCTGACGTCTTTATGATGATGATGAATACTATAATAACTCGATATTATAGTATTTTTGCAAGTATATCAAAAAAGAAATGAAAAACTTTGCAGAACTGCAGAACTGGAAAACACGTTTTTGATAGTAGAGTTTTAATAATAACAATGAGGTAAATTAGTTCCGATCTTAGCCTTAGACTAAGAACAGACCAAATTTACCCTTTCAATAACTAGCGCATAAGCAAGTCGATATAAGATCAAAATCAATCATTCAATCAATACCGAAAGGCTCGTACTTGCTCTTCTTTCCTAATAAATTATTGAAAAACCCTCAAAGGAAAAACTTACCGTTGAGTATAACCTGGATTTGTCTGTTAGGATGACAGTATGCGGTAGCCAAAATGGCAAATAAAGCGAGAGCAATGGCACCTAAAATAATATAAAGTGTATTAGATTAATTATTTGTTTGTAAATATTACGAAAACACTGTTTCATATGCACACACATTACTTATATCACTGATAGCAAAATTACAAGACTGAAAAATAGATCTCGATCGGACCAATACTTTTAAGTAAGACAGAAGTGTTTGAGCTTTATACAATTTAAAAGTACATTACAAAATTAATCAGCCTTTAGGCGAAACATTTCACTCAAGAAGTTATTAAAAATATGAACCATTATGAGAAATAAGTCACTTACTTTTCATGTTAAAGACGTTTCGTAAATAGTCACTGTCGAAGTCTACCAATTTTGTTATTAACGAACAGAATGAATTTTTGCCGTATTATATACACGAAGATAATTACTTTTTATCTTTAAGTACCTTTTTCTCTAAATTAAATTTTTAAAAACAAGGTGGATTTTTATATTTTGATCGTCTTCGTTATCACATTAAGACGATATCGATACGATCAACATAAGAAACGCATTTTGTTGAAGTGGATACAGAATTTCAAAACTTTCGAGAAACCCTCAAACTTATTTGACGTATTCTTGAGGTATGTGCATAATTAACGATTGCACATCGTATCTTTACTAGTTGAACCCGTTAAAGTTTGGACGGAAGGTACTATTGTCGATGAAACATGCCACTTACGTTATGATCATGGCGACTTGTCATACTGCAACCTAATCTAATCTCTTGGTGCATAGTAACACTCTTAACATGAATTAATTGGCAAATGACAATTTTGAACCAATCTGAACAAAAAATTAAAAACCAAAAACAAAAATTGAAATTATGTTGAGAATGGTTACATAACCTGATATTTGTTTTTATAATGGAGTTAAAAGGGTTACAAAAAACAAAAATAGATTTTTGAATATTTTTTATCAACAAATGTATGATATCTTCTCCTTCTACAATCCATCTAAAATTCATTTGTTTATTTATAGAAATGCTTAATAAATAGGACTGCGACTTTATTTACTTTATAAAACGAGTAGTGGATACATTATATCTATATTTTATGTATTATATATCAAAATAAAACTTAAGATTAATTTTTCAATAAGCGGAAATAAAAAAAAGCTTCATTGTAAATATAAATAAACACTAAAACCCAATATTCCGTATAGAAACGCTGAGTTTAATTAATTGGTAGAAAGCACACTGTGAATATGCATTTTCTTTGACTTTTGCGTTGGAATCTACAGAGTTTTGTTCTAAAGGTTTTGCATTTCATTATTGAGAGAATCTTCAGTCGTGATTTGATTGATCTTTGCTTGATGATTAATAATCAGTGATCATATATACTTTTATTTGATATTATTGTGCTATAGATGCATTGTCAAATCAGAATAAAAGTAATAACATTCTGAATTGGTTTTGATTGTTTGGTGGAAAGAAAAAATGCCAATATATCACTTTTCTTATTTTGAAATGAACATCTTTTCATATGATAATTCGAAGTGATCTGTATTCTGTCGAAACTGCCAGACGCCGATCGCGATTTCGATCTTTCCGGATCTCATCAGCGTGTCGCAGACAGCTACGACAGAACACAGACCAACTTTTACCTGCTGTCTTAACAGCGCGTTTTAGAAAATACCACAAATGGCGCGGTATACGCCATCTGTAGTACGATGCTACTTTTTAGGATTACGTATGCTCCAACAAGGTCTTTTCATATGCTTGAAGGGATTTTGTCGTTACGATTGTGATTAATAGAATTGCTAACATTTGGTCCTATAACTTATAATTAGTCCATCTGGTTGTCCTTCTAAAGGTTTCTATGATAAAAGTGCCTAGTGTTTACTTAATTAGTAAAAACATACTACGGTTATGCATTTGCTGGAACTTTTGCGACCAGGTCTTTGAAATTTAACTTCAACTGTTCTGCCTTTCTTTGCTGAGGGTATCTTCAATGGTGACCTGATGATCATGGATGTGCTTATTTAATGTTACTGCCTTTTAGGTACACTGTTCAATCAGAATAAAACTAATATCATTCTGAGTTGGTTTTCAGTGCTTGGTGGAAAGAAGAAATGCCAATGTATCAGCTATCTAATTTTGACAAATGCTTAGTCTATTTTGAAATGAATATCTTTTCATGTTGATATGATTGTGATTTCATCCGTTAATAGAATTGTTAATATTTACTCCTGTGAGTAAGTTCATCTGGTTTTCTTCTGTAGATTTCTACAACAAAAACTACCCACAGTTTACTTACTTAGTAAAAGCATACTGTGGTTATGGCTTTACTTGGACTTTTGTGACCACGTCTTCTTCGATTCGAATCTTCAATAGTGGCATGATTGAGTCCCGCATAATGATTGATACTGTTGTACCATAGACTCGCTGTCCAATCGGAATTATACTAACAACATTCTGATTTGGTTTTAATTTATTAGTGGAAAGAACTTTCGATTTTGATTAGGGTTTAATGATCGTCGTCGATTGAAGTTGCTTCCTGACTTTCGCTAACATGAGTGGTGAATTTCTTCAGAGGTCTTTCTATCTCCTATACTGAATATCCACAGCATTAGTTCATCACTTATCTTATTTTTAATTTTGACAAATGCTCTATCTGTTTTAAAATAAACCTCTTCATATGTTTGAAGGAATTTGGTTCATGTCATTGTGATTTCGTTCGTCAATATAGTAATTGACATTAACTCCTAAAATTTAAATTGATCTATTGGGTCTACCTTGCCTAACTGCACAAAGTTGAATTAATCAGCAACAACCTACAGTAGCTATGCCTTTTATTGGACTTTCATGCCTAAGTCTTTGGATTTAGTTTCAAACGTGTTACATTTCTTCACTGAGGGCATCTTCAGTGCTTACATAACTTGCTGGACCTATTTAAGGGGATATGGTGGTTGATGTGATAATTTTGTCTAAAGGTTCCATTAGCTCTCCATAAGAATATTCTAGGACTAATCCATCCATCTATGCGGCACCTATGTGCAAGGTTCAGCAAATAATATAAAATTGTCATCAATTGCAATGTGCAAATTTCATATTGCAATTGTTGTTGATGTTGTAGAATTTAACACATCATGTCTGCCCCATCTACTTCTCCCTAATTATCATCACCCACCCCTACGGTTTCTAAACCAGACTAAGGAGTATCTTCTGTTTTATCCATCACATTGTACTACAGTGCTTTAAATATTTTATCGATTATTCAGAAAGGACAATGATGTCACATCTATTTCTTTACGGCATACGTAAAATCTGTGAGTAGCAGAATTGTCTGATCAAATAAATTAATGAGACGGCCAATATGATAAGATAACGTACATGGATAAGTGCCTTATTTTTAAATTTAACAGACACATACACAGTTCAAGAAATATAAAGAACCTATTCTTAATCAAACAAAAAAAAAACTGATCATTAAATGTACAAATTACAGATTTAATAAAAACCACCGTTTCAGAAGTGCGTATATAATTGAATTTATTGAAAAAGATAAAGCTACTTTTTTGCTTGCAAGATTGTTTAATCTTTATTTTATTTCGTTTACATGCACTTATATGTGACATTATTGTTTAATATAAAGGTCTTCCACGAGCTATTGCTATCTCCATATGAAACGTAGCAATGACAAAACGTACCACGATTACCTGCTTATGGTCTTAAGTACCATAATAATGGTATATACCTGTAGAGTAGAAATATTGACTTACATAATCATGCATGAATGTCTAGTCAGAGCCGGAAGTTAGGAGGGGTAGAGGTAAACCTAGATTAGATTGCTGTTCGAAAATAGTTAAGGATAAGGGTAGTTTTAGTTTTAGGGAAATGCGAAGATTAGGTCAGGATAGGAAAGGGTGAAGGTGCGTGTCCAACCAGTCTTAGGACTGACGACCTTATGATGATGAAACGCCTGTACATACATATAAGTTATCAAAGCATTTGAATGTGGTTTATTTCCTATTGTTACCTATTTCGCAATAATAGATTATGATGAAATAAAGGGGCAGATAAGTTAATTTTAATTAATTTGGAAATGAATATAATTGGTAATTACGATGATACAGAAATCGAGAGGGTATACCCACAAAACTACAACCACCTCATGATCAGTGGCATGCTCACCTTGACATTTGAAACCACCATTTGACGATCTTAACACACACCAAAATGGCCATTTTGCCTGTTCAACGCCTGAATAAACTGTAATGGGAATCAGACTGGTTAAATTATTATTTAAATAAATTAAATATAGATGAATAAAAGTGAATAGAAGGGGTAGAGGTAGACCTAGATTAGATTACTGTTCGCAAATAGTTAAGGGTGTGGGCTGTTCTAGTTTTAGGGAAATGCGAAGATTAGCTCAGGATAGGAAAGATTTGAGGTGCGTGTCCAACCAGTCTTAGGATTGACGACCTTATGATGATGATGAATAAAAGTGTTACGTTTCATGAATCCAAAATATCTTCAAACAATTAGTTGACTCTTTGCAGGTAGTCAGTCGTTACGTCAGGTTGCTGGTACAATTTGTTGTGTATTCGATATTTGGGCCTGATGGGACGCCACCGTCCTCCGGTGATACATACATGTACAAGTTGAAGTCCCATAGCCATCCATTATGGTAAACAGCAGCAAAGTCTTCTTTCTTTTCGATATGGGTTCCATCTGTAATCAAAAAGCGCAAATGAATGTAGCATCGCCCGTTGTTATTTTGCTCCTTCTTCATAGTAAACCGTTTTTACACGTGTTCCCATTTTTCCCATTTAACTAACCCCTTATGCCCCAGAAAATACCCGATCATTCTATCCCCCTCCCCATTTTCCTTATTGACATCCATGTGAGTATACAGTATTCCTCGTATTGAGTTTTAATTTATTGTATACTGACCATTATAAGTGTCTTGTCAAATTGCTATTGATTACCCCAGTTTACATCAAAACCTGTATATAGAAAAGCCTAACTCCTTTAAATGAGGAGACTAACATTGAGTAGGGGAACAAAGATTAACTCCCGGAGAAGCCACAATTTATAATTAGGTCGTCACGATATTTATTGTTAATATTTATGCTTCGTGATCTACTTTCTAAGTCCTTATGAGTGTTCATTTCACCACGCGCACTCTATCTAATCAAACACTGTACCTACTGTTTGAAGCTTTTATCTAAATTACTACTACTTTTAATTCTAGCCTACTAGACGACCGAATTTTCTGGACGATCACAAAAAAATTGCTTCCCCCCGGTCTTCCTAAACGAAGTCCTGTATCCACGCATGTAATCGGAAGAGGTATTCATGATAGATAGATATGACAAACGCTCCTGATTACCCGGTAGAGATGGCCATAGTTTAGAATTTTGATAGGTAACTTAGCACATAATGTTAAATGACATGGACAGTGGGCGCAGCGGAAAAGAAAAGGTTAGATGTGGTATTACAGACGAATGATGAGGATACCGTGGATAGAGAAGGTTAGAAATGAAGAGGTATTAGAATGAGTAAGAGAACAGAGGACTTTATGGAAGTCAATAAGAAATAAGCGAGATAGGTTAGTAGGACAACTTCTCAAAAACTAATCAAACATTTTCTGAAAGTCTACAAAGACTGTATCTAGTTTTGACGCCTTTATCTAACTCCCTACTATTTTTAACTCTAGCCTAATAGACGACCGAATTTTCTGGAAGATTACTTAAGCATTGCCTTCCCCGGCTTCCTAAACCAATTTCTGTATCCCTGCATGTAATTGGAAGAGATATCCATGTTCGGTGTCGATGTGTTCAGTATTTGTATATTTTTTTTATAATGTTTTTAGTTTGTATTTATTTTGTATATATCTGTATATCTAATCTCTGTGTAACTTCAACTTGTGTTACAAACAGCTTTGGGCCTCTTTATTACACCCTTCAGGTAGGTACCAAACGTTGGGAAAGTCCGAGTCCCCAACTTCGTCACTTCGGACTTTCTCTGGGTACCTGAAGGGTGCATAGCAACAACAGATGCATTGACCTAGGGGTTTGTTTTACTTAGAGGCGTGTCCTATTTTTTGTGCAGACTATTTAAGTCTTGGACCACAGTTCCAAATTANAGCGGCATGGCCTAGAGGTTTAGACCATTGCTTAGCATTCGGGAGGACACCGGTTCGATTCCGGGTCCGTCTGCCTTGGTCCAAGTTTTTCTGTGTTTTCCTTGCATCACTTAGGCAAATGCTGAGGCAGTAATATTCCACAGATAATCTTTCATTCTCCTCTGTCTTCATTTTGTCCGTCTCACTTTCTCACCCGAACCACCACCCACCCATTCCCACGATTCCTGAAAGCAGGCTGGAGAGGGCCTTCCGCCTTACCTTCCGGCGTAGTCCGGAGGGACTGCCCGCCCACCAGCATTACTGGCTGGTGGGAATGAAACACCCAAAAGTTTTAAGTTTTTATAGAGATATTATTACAATTCAAATTCAAACAAATTCATTAATATTCAAGCATTATTACAATTATTACATTCATATTCAATTATTACAATTTAAAACCAAAATATTCAACTATACAATTCAAAACCAAATTCATATTCAACTTTACAATTCAGCTTCAATCATTCAAATTATATCCAAATCAGTTTATATATCAAACTCAAGCAATTAGTGTAAATAGTGTAAATAAAGTGTAAATAGAAAAGCAGTCTATTAATTCGAAGTGAATTAGCCAAAAGAGCTTTCGGCGGGATACCACCACATACATCAACAACAATCAAATTACAACAAACACATCAAACAATCCACATCTCATTTATAGATATGACGAACTCTACTGATTATCCGGTAGAGATGGCCACAGGCACCTAAACTTTAGAATTATGGTACATAACTTACCACATAATGTTAAATGCCGCATTGTCGTATAATAACCAAATTCTCTGAAAAAACATCTAATGCATATTGCAAAATTTAAAATTAAATACAAAATGCTGTAAGCCTCACATATTTGTTTTGGTAAAATTAGGTGCAATTAATTTAGTCACTTGATTTGCGATATTTCTCTGATAACCACACAACAGTTCCTTAAAGATCCTAATTTTACTTGTTTTGTTACTGTACACACTTATCAATATTTACGTAAACAATCTACACCTAAATGGAAAAATTTCCAAATTATGTCGGATTCCTGGTATTATAAAGACGTGCCGATAAAGAAATTAATCTCAACTAACAATAATTAAACTGCACTAAAATGTGAATTTTTCAAGTACCTATGAGCAATAGATGAACGTCTGTTATTATTCCCTACATATATAAGCTACCGTATTTTTTTTATCTTGTATCTGTTTTGGTACACAAAGCAGAAGAAAGTAAAGCTCCAGTATGAACGGTAAGATTAACCTTTTCGTAACTATTGCTTTAACATACATATTAATCTTTACGTTTAACAGTCGTTATAACTACAGTGCCAGTCTTATTAATTAAAAAATTCACTTTTGTAACATAAAATTATTAGATAGCCAGTAAGCCATTACAGACAGAGATTCCTAGAGAAAAAATCGCATGTCGATATCGAGTTCGATTATATACATTCTGAATTAACTGTTCATCTTTAAATTAAAAAGCTAATTTGTGTTTAGCGTTTTACAATTTGACGTTACAAGATTTTTTCTAGGTGGCAGCACAGCCATATTGATCACGTGATGTGGTTTGACGCTCAAAGCTAGCGTCAAGCGTCAGCATGAGGTTACAACTTATACATCAAATTCAGTACATCATCAAATGTCTTCAAAATCAAACTAATGTCCATTAGAATGCCAAGCCATTTAGTTTCATTTAATCACCATCCTCACAGATTTTATATTCTAGAATAGATATACACTGAATTCGTTGCGTTTAGTTTGAGGTTGTTTTCATTTAGCCACTGCTGAATCAACTGGACGTATTCATTCTTTCTAAACTCAGTAACTCTCCCAGTAAAGGTTTTTTATTATATTGGTAGAATAGAATTGCTTTTTATTCTTCAATACTATCTTTCATTCTTTCTTTACTGTTTCCTTAAAATTAACCAGAAGTGAATAGTAACTGGATTACATTTCATTTATGAATCCGTCAAATACGTTTAATTAACTTTGTCATGGTAAATAATAACATATCATATTCTCGGTCAGAGATTCGTTAAAATTAGATAGCTATCTTATTTTTACATATACTATATGGCACCTACAGTACCGTAAAAATGTTTTTCAAAAATTCCCATAAATTTTATTCAAATAAAAGCCAATATAGGGGCAAAAGGAGTTTGGGTGCAAGCCATCTACAATGACTTTTACTTCATACCCCCTCTACAGCAATAAGGAGGAGAATTGGAAACTGAGTAACTAATCCTCTTTGTTTCAGTTATCGCAATTCTCGCATTTTTCGGCATCATTACCACTGCCTATGCACGTAGTAAGTTAATCAGCAATACAAACACATACGATAGAAGACGTATTATAATAATGTACAATAATAATTAAAACATGTGATTTTCGTTCCTTTAGTTCGCATTTGCCGAAAATACTCGTTAAAAGGAATTAAATATCCAGATGAAAAAGATTGTAGTAAATACTACCTATGCAGATTTGGACTATTGCTGTCTAAACAGTGTGATGATGGTCTCCTGTACAGTCCAGTAAGTGCAAGTTGTGTACCCCCTCAGCAGTCTGGATGTAAGGCCTACGAAAGATACATCGATGAAAGAAACAAGGGTAGGATATCTATAAACCGTATCCATTCATATAAGTTCATATTATTTTTAAACCGTCCCCATCTTAGGTTCTTATTTTATGTAAAACAAATTGATTTTCTACAATATGCATAGTGTATTGGACATAAACGCATTTGACAGATAAATTTCATTAAATGTTTCTTTAAATTTACAGAGTATTGTAATATCGCCGGTGATAGTGCCCTCTTCCCTAACGTTCTTCGATGCAATCAATTCTATGAATGCGCCAATGGNGATATCTATAAACCGTATCCATTCATATAAGTTCATATTATTTTTAAACCGTCCCCATCTTAGGTTCTTGTTTTATCCAAAAAACAAAAATGATTTTTTACAATACGCATAGTGTATTGGGGAGAGATGAATTTGACAAATAAATTTCATTAAATGCTGCTCTAAATTTGCAGAGTATTGTAATATCGCCGGTGATAGTGCCCTCTTCCCTAACGTTCTTCGATGCAATCAATTCTATGAATGCGCCAATGGAGTACCTGTAAAATTCGATTGCCCAGCTGATTTAATTTTCAACGACCTATTGAAAGTTTGTGATTACCCCGATACAACCTCATGTGTTCAGGTTTTGCAATTCCCGTTCCATGTTGAACTTCTGAATGAAAACGGAAACGTTGAACAAGAACAAGTAGACGATCTTCTTGAAGAAGAAGAAATTGCATCCGCTAATCAGTAGATAAAGCAGCAAACGACAGTGATAATGAATTAGTTACTTATGTACATGTATTAATTTAAAAACCATGTATCGAGATGAATAGAAAATAAAATAACATGCATTTAAAATATCTTTAATAATAATTTAATGTTACAACCGAGGTACCTATAAGTAAAAAGTGAAGCGGTATCGACACTAGATTACGGAATGATCATAGAGTCATCAGTCCTAAAGCAGTCTTATTACTCTTTAATCTTTTTAATGCTTAATCAACTTCTTCTATCATTATGGCGTGTTTATGGCATACCGTTATTCTCTAATACATCTCCTAACTCTTGACCTGCCTCGTTTCTTAAATTGCAACTGCTGTACCTTTTCTTCTGAAATTTCTTTTAATTATTTATAAACCTCATCTATTTTACCTGCTGCAAACATTCGTTTTACTTCTTTACACCTCATATGAATCCACTTTTCCTCAATTGCCCCCCAATTCTACACTTCCAAATTATTTCCTACTTATTTGCCTTGTAACTTTTTTAATCTTGTTATTAATAATCCTACAACCTCGCTTTCTATCCAGGGCTCCTACCTTCGTTCTTTTTTAAGATCTCTAGCATCAAAATCGATACACGTTTTAATGCAGTTTTACTCTCTGTCTACGTCTCTATCATTAGTTTCTCCTGCTTCCTTTTGTATTTCGTCTTTCCTCTTACCAAACCTATTATGCATTTTGTTATATTTTCGTTTTTCTATATCAAGACGCTTCCCACCTTCCCTCATCTTCATAATTTTGTATGTAAGATTGGTACCACGTTTACCTGGAAATGGCCCTTAGTTACCATAATATTGATATATACCTGTAATGTAGAAATATCGTTGTATTACAAATTAAAAATAATACATAGACGCTCGTACATATAAGTTATTAAGGAATTTAAATGTGTTTTTTTGCATTGTTACCTATACTTCGCATAAGCGATAATAGATTATGATGAAATGAAGGGACAGATAAGTTAATTATAAATAATTTGAAAACGAATACAATTGGTAACTAACATGATAAAGAAATGGAGAGGGGATGCCTGTTAAATTATTGTCTCCTCATGATCAGTGGCATTCTCATTCTGACATTTGAGACCATCATTTGACGATTTTGAGCACACCAAAATGGCCATTCTGCCAATCCAACGCCTGAATAAACTATAGGACTCAGCCTGCTTAAATAATTACTTAATAAAAAAATAAATATCGGTGAATAAAAGTGCTACGTTTCGCAGGATCCAAAATATCTTCAAGCAATTAGCAGACTCTTCACAGGCAGTCAGTCGTTTTTTTTATATGGTACGTTCTGTCGTTACGTCAGGTTGCTGGTACATTTTGTCGTGTATGAATTCGATATTCGGACCTGATGGAACTCAACCTTCCTCAAGTATTACATCCATGTACAAGGTGCAAATTCCATAACCATTCCTTTATGATAAACAGCAGCAAACTCATTTTTCTTTTCGATATGCATTCCATCTGTAATCAAAAGCACAAATTTATTCTATAATTTTACTCCTTCTTCATAGTAAACCGTTTTTACTCCTGTGCCCTACCATTCTATCCACCCTTTTCTTATTGGCATCCACGTGTGTATATAGTTTTCTTCGTATTGAGCTATAATTCGTTGTATGTTGACCATTATGAGTACCTTATCAAATCGCTGCTAATTATTCCATTTAATAAGTTTACATCAAAACCCGAATATAGAAAAGCAGTATGTATGCGAAGATAAAATGACGACCGATAAGTCCAGCTTCATTAAATAAGCAAACTAAAATTGAGTAATAAAAAGGACCAAAAATTGACTCCCGCTAGAAGACACAATTTATAGTTAGGTCGTCATGATATTAATTATTAATTTTTATCATTCGAGCTCTATTTTCTATCCAAGTCCTTATAAGAGTGTTCATTTCACCACGCGCACTCTTTATCTAATCAAACACTGTACGTACTGTTTGAAGCTTTTATCTAAGTCACTACTGCTTTTAATTCTAGCCTACTAGACGACCGAATTTTCTGAAAGATCACAAAAAAATTGCTTCCCCCCGGTCTTCCTAAACGAAGTCCTGTATCCACGCATGTAATCGGAAGAGGTATTCATGATAGGTAGATATGAGAAACACTCCTGATTATCCGGTAGAGATGGCCACAGGCGTCTATAGTTTAGAATGTTGATAGGTTACTTACCATATAATGTTAAATGCCGCATTGTCGTATAATAACCAAATTCGCCGAAAAAACATCCAAAGCACATTGCTAATTTTAAAATTAAGTACAAAATGCTTTTAGCCTCACATATACGTGGTGGTAAAATTAAGTACAATTAATTTAGTCACTTGATTAACCATAAAAAGAAGCCACTTCTGTGCTCGTGAACGGTTAATCTAGAAATTCGAAAAATGTTGTTAAAGGTGTATGTTTGGAGCACGGTGCTATATGGGTGCGAAACGTGGACAGTGAGCGCGGCGGAAAAGAATAGGTGAGAAGCGTTCGAAATGTGGCGTTACAGGCGAATGATGAGGATACCGTGGATAGAGAAGGTTAGAAATGAAGAGGTATTAGAAAGAGTAAAAGAACAGGGGACTCGATGGATGTCAATAAGAAACAGGCGAGATAGGTTAGGTGGACACCTTCTCATGCATGAAGGTCTAGCCAGAAAGATATTAAAGGCAGAAATGGGACTTAGGAGGGGTAGAGGTAGACCTAGATTAGATTACTCTTCGTAAATAGTTAAAGATGTGGGTTGTTCTAATTTTAGAGAAAAGCGAAGATTAGCTCAGGATAGGAAAGACTGGAGGTAGGTGTCCAACCAGTCTTACGACAGACGACCTTATGATGATGATGATGATGATGAACCGTACAACAACCAAATGTCCCTTAAAGATCCTATTTTTACTTATTATGTCACTATATGCACTTATCAATATTTACGTAAACACTAAAAGGGAAAAAAATTCGAAATAATGAAGGATTCCTGGTACTATAAAAACATGCCGACAAAAAAAAATAATCTCAACTAACAATTTTTAAATTACATTAAAATATGAATTTTTTAAGTACCTACTAGCAATAGATAAACGTCTACATTATCACCTACATATATAAGCTATCGCATTTTTTTTATCTTATATCTGTTTTAGTTCACATAGCAGAAGAAAGTAAAGCTCCAGTATGAAAGGTAAGATTAACATTTTCATAACTATAGCTTTAACATGCATACGAAGTTTATCAGTTGTTATAACTATTCTGCCAGTCTTATTAATTAAAAAAATCACTCCTGTAACACGAAATTATTGGACAGCACATAAGTCATTAGAGATAGAAATTCCTTATTATATTAATCGATTAATAATAGTGAATGTAACTGCCTTGAATTGAAATGGTTGCACTGTTTTTGAAAATTATGTCAGAAATCGTGTTTGTCTTTTCATTACAGCGGCCCCTCATCTTCACTGTAGGGAAGTTATAGGTTTCTTCCCACGCTATTATAGGTATCACAACAGGCAGTATTTCAATCATCATAATTAATACATCATACTTAGTAAATCATCAAACGACTTCAATTAATTTAAAACTAATGTCCATTATAATCCCAAGCTATTTAGTTTCATTTAATCACCATCCTCATAAATACTATGTTTTACAGAAAAGATATACACTTTGATTCCCTTGCGTTCATTTAGCCACTGCTGAATGAACAAAACGTATTGATTCGTTCTTAATTCAGTATCCCTACCAGTAAAGGTTTTTTATTACATTGTTAGAATAGAATTGCTTTTTATTCTTCAATATTATCTTTCTTTGTTCACTTCATACTGTTTCATTCAAATTAACCAGAAATGAACAGTAACTGGATTACATTGCATATATGAATCCGTCAAGTACGTATAATAAATTCGTCATGGTAAATAATACATATCATATTCCTGGTCTGAAATTCGTTAAAATTATGAGCGCTTTTACTTTTACATACAGTAAATGGTACTTACAGTACCGTAAATATGGTTTTCAATAATTCCTATAAGTTTTATCCAAATAAAAGCCAGTATAAGAACAAAAGGAGTTCGGGTATAAGCTATTTACAACGGCTTTTATTTCATATACCAGATCTACAGTAATTAGGAGGAGAATTGGAAACTGAGTAACTAATCGTCTTTGTTTCAGTTATCGCCCTACTCGCATTTTTCGGCATCATTGCCACTGCCTCCGCAAGTAGTAAGTTACTAAGCAATACAAACATACGAAAAAGTCATATTATAATAAAGTATAATAATAATTAAAACATGTGATTTTCGTTCCTTTAGTTCGCATTTGTGGAAAATTCTCGTTCAAGGGACTTAAATATCCAGATGAAAAGGATTGTGGTAAATACTACCTATGCAGATTTGGACTATTGATATCTCAACAATGTAAAAAAAATCAGCTCTTCAGTACACAAACGGCAAGTTGTGTTCCTTCACAGCAATCTGACTGTAAGGCCCACCAAGATTCTACAATCGATGAGAAACCTATCGAATCTGCTGTCGATGAGAAACCTATCGAATCTGCTATCGATGAGAAACCTATCGAATCTGCCATAGATGAGAAACCTATCGAATCTGCCATTGATGAGAAACCTATCGAATCTACCATAGATGAGAAACCTATCGAACCTACCATAGATGAGAAACCTATCGAATCTACCATAGTTGAGAAACCTATCGAATCTACCATCGATGAGGAACCTATCGAATCTAACATTAATGAGAAAAACCAAGGTAGGATATTTATATACCGTATCTATATCGGTATAAAAAAATATATCTATATGTATATAATTTTTGAAAAGGGAAGTGCATTTAAATGATACAACCTTTTCAACCACCTAGCATAAGATTTTCCTTCCTAAAAAAGGTGTTGCTTTAGTTTTGCAATTCTTTTTAAACCGTCCCCATCTTAGGTTCTTGTTTTATCCAAAAAACAAAAATGATTTTTTACAATACGCATAGTGTATTGGGGAGAGATGAATTTGACAAATAAATTTCATTAAATGCTGCTCTAAATTTGCAGAGTATTGTAATATCGCCGGTGATGGTGTCCTTTTCCCTAACGTTCTGCAATGCAATCAATTCTATGAATGCACCAATGGAGTACCTGTAAAATTCGATTGTCCAGCTGGTTTAATTTTCAACAACCAATTAAAAACTTGCGATTATGCCGAAAGAACATCATGCGTCAAGTTTTTGCAACTTCCACTCCATATTGAACTTATGAATGAGTGATAATAAGTTACTCATGTATATGCATTAATTAAAGAACCATGTGTCGGGCATAGTATAAAATAAAAGAACATGCATTTAAAATATCTTTAATAATAATTTAATGTTACAACCGAGGTACCTATAAGTAAAAAGTGAAGCGGTATCGACACTAGATTACGGAATGATCATAGAGTCATCAGTCCTAAAGCAGTCTTATTACTCTTTAATCTTTTTAATGCTTAATCAACTTCTTCTATCATTATGGCGTGTTTATGGCATACCGTTATTCTCTAATACATCTCCTAACTCTTGACCTGCCTCGTTTCTTAAATTGCAACTGCTGTACCTTTTCTTCTGAAATTTCTTTTAATTATTTATAAACCTCATCTATTTTACCTGCTGCAAACATTCGTTTTACTTCTTTACACCTCATATGAATCCACTTTTCCTCAATTGCCCCCCAATTCTACACTTCCAAATTATTTCCTACTTATTTGCCTTGTAACTTTTTTAATCTTGTTATTAATAATCCTACAACCTCGCTTTCTATCCAGGGCTCCTACCTTCGTTCTTTTTTAAGATCTCTAGCATCAAAATCGATACACGTTTTAATGCAGTTTTACTCTCTGTCTACGTCTCTATCATTAGTTTCTCCTGCTTCCTTTTGTATTTCGTCTTTCCTCTTACCAAACCTATTATGCATTTTGTTATATTTTCGTTTTTCTATATCAAGACGCTTCCCACCTTCCCTCATCTTCATAATTTTGTATGTAAGATTGGTACCACGTTTACCTGGAAATGGCCCTTAGTTACCATAATATTGATATATACCTGTAATGTAGAAATATCGTTGTATTACAAATTAAAAATAATACATAGACGCTCGTACATATAAGTTATTAAGGAATTTAAATGTGTTTTTTTGCATTGTTACCTATACTTCGCATAAGCGATAATAGATTATGATGAAATGAAGGGACAGATAAGTTAATTATAAATAATTTGAAAACGAATACAATTGGTAACTAACATGATAAAGAAATGGAGAGGGGATGCCTGTTAAATTATTGTCTCCTCATGATCAGTGGCATTCTCATTCTGACATTTGAGACCATCATTTGACGATTTTGAGCACACCAAAATGGCCATTCTGCCAATCCAACGCCTGAATAAACTATAGGACTCAGCCTGCTTAAATAATTACTTAATAAAAAAATAAATATCGGTGAATAAAAGTGCTACGTTTCGCAGGATCCAAAATATCTTCAAGCAATTAGCAGACTCTTCACAGGCAGTCAGTCGTTTTTTTTATATGGTACGTTCTGTCGTTACGTCAGGTTGCTGGTACATTTTGTCGTGTATGAATTCGATATTCGGACCTGATGGAACTCAACCTTCCTCAAGTATTACATCCATGTACAAGGTGCAAATTCCATAACCATTCCTTTATGATAAACAGCAGCAAACTCATTTTTCTTTTCGATATGCATTCCATCTGTAATCAAAAGCACAAATTTATTCTATAATTTTACTCCTTCTTCATAGTAAACCGTTTTTACTCCTGTGCCCTACCATTCTATCCACCCTTTTCTTATTGGCATCCACGTGTGTATATAGTTTTCTTCGTATTGAGCTATAATTCGTTGTATGTTGACCATTATGAGTACCTTATCAAATCGCTGCTAATTATTCCATTTAATAAGTTTACATCAAAACCCGAATATAGAAAAGCAGTATGTATGCGAAGATAAAATGACGACCGATAAGTCCAGCTTCATTAAATAAGCAAACTAAAATTGAGTAATAAAAAGGACCAAAAATTGACTCCCGCTAGAAGACACAATTTATAGTTAGGTCGTCATGATATTAATTATTAATTTTTATCATTCGAGCTCTATTTTCTATCCAAGTCCTTATAAGAGTGTTCATTTCACCACGCGCACTCTTTATCTAATCAAACACTGTACGTACTGTTTGAAGCTTTTATCTAAGTCACTACTGCTTTTAATTCTAGCCTACTAGACGACCGAATTTTCTGAAAGATCACAAAAAAATTGCTTCCCCCCGGTCTTCCTAAACGAAGTCCTGTATCCACGCATGTAATCGGAAGAGGTATTCATGATAGGTAGATATGAGAAACACTCCTGATTATCCGGTAGAGATGGCCACAGGCGTCTATAGTTTAGAATGTTGATAGGTTACTTACCATATAATGTTAAATGCCGCATTGTCGTATAATAACCAAATTCGCCGAAAAAACATCCAAAGCACATTGCTAATTTTAAAATTAAGTACAAAATGCTTTTAGCCTCACATATACGTGGTGGTAAAATTAAGTACAATTAATTTAGTCACTTGATTAACCATAAAAAGAAGCCACTTCTGTGCTCGTGAACGGTTAATCTAGAAATTCGAAAAATGTTGTTAAAGGTGTATGTTTGGAGCACGGTGCTATATGGGTGCGAAACGTGGACAGTGAGCGCGGCGGAAAAGAATAGGTGAGAAGCGTTCGAAATGTGGCGTTACAGGCGAATGATGAGGATACCGTGGATAGAGAAGGTTAGAAATGAAGAGGTATTAGAAAGAGTAAAAGAACAGGGGACTCGATGGATGTCAATAAGAAACAGGCGAGATAGGTTAGGTGGACACCTTCTCATGCATGAAGGTCTAGCCAGAAAGATATTAAAGGCAGAAATGGGACTTAGGAGGGGTAGAGGTAGACCTAGATTAGATTACTCTTCGTAAATAGTTAAAGATGTGGGTTGTTCTAATTTTAGAGAAAAGCGAAGATTAGCTCAGGATAGGAAAGACTGGAGGTAGGTGTCCAACCAGTCTTACGACAGACGACCTTATGATGATGATGATGATGATGAACCGTACAACAACCAAATGTCCCTTAAAGATCCTATTTTTACTTATTATGTCACTATATGCACTTATCAATATTTACGTAAACACTAAAAGGGAAAAAAATTCGAAATAATGAAGGATTCCTGGTACTATAAAAACATGCCGACAAAAAAAAATAATCTCAACTAACAATTTTTAAATTACATTAAAATATGAATTTTTTAAGTACCTACTAGCAATAGATAAACGTCTACATTATCACCTACATA